TTCCATTTGCCTGAGATTTCTGTTTGTTATCTCTATTGATACCCAGGCACATGCCCTGAAATTAACACTTTTCCTTAGGAGAAGACTAATATTGCAGGAACAAGGAGTTGCTGAGTTGAACTAGGAGAAATGATTCATCATGTTTTTGTGGTGCAAAAAGTGTGTAAGTGATGTTGTCACTTACATGCTTTCAAAATTATTATATTTACTCACATAATTGAGAGGGAAGAAAAGGTGCTGCTAAATTCAGAAAGTCATGGCAAGCAATCATGAAAATTTGGCACAGAGATGCTTTTCTTCAGGCAGGGGATAGGCTAGGGTATTGTTTTCAGTTCTCTCAGGTACTTTGCAAATCAATCACTGTTTCTAGAGATAGCTTTCAAACATAGTGTTTGTGTATAGAACCATAGAACAATATAGGTCAGAAAAGACCTTTAAGATCATGAAGTCCAACCATTAACCCGGCACTGCCAAGTCCACTGCTAAACCATGTCCCCACACGACCTGTGTGAAAAACATAAGACAAGTAACTAAAAACTTGGTGGTTCTCTGCAAACTTACAGAAATCTTTCCAAAATTTGGAAACACTTCTCTTTCTTCTTCTCCGTTTATTAAAAATTGCAAAGCATGATGACAATAAATTCTTAGCATCCATCAAAAGCTAGAAACCACAGTTGAAGGCCTCCTCATCTTGTTTGCTTTATTACTGATGGTACGCAGGCAGCCTTGCACTTGGAGTATCTAGTAGCCTTGCTTGCAAACTGTTGCATTGCCACAGCTTTCTGAGTGTGATAAATAAAGGCTCAATGCTCTTCATTTATTGTTTATGGGTATAGGCAAGGCAGGGAAAGCAGAGTCAGGCAGATTGGTGTGGGAGAGGAGCATCTGCTGCTGGAGGGTATTTAGCTTCCTGTGCAGCAATCTGAGCTTCCCAGTCTGGCTTCTCTTCTCTCACAAACACCGCTTTCTGAAAGTCATGACCTGTTGCAAAGTTCCCTTTGTCAAGCACAGTAAAAAACGGAAATGCTGCTTCTTGTAACGCCAATTAATGGCAGAATCTGTCCAGCTAGGACAAGCATTTCGCAATCTGTCTTCTGAAATTAAGTGGCTGGGGGATGGGAAGTTCCTCCTTTTAAAAACGTTGCTCCGTGAATCAATTACCCTTTTTTTTTTTAAATTGTCGGTAGCAATCAGTGGAATGTGACACACCACAAATATTGTGCTCTGGTGTTTGAACAACTGAACACCCAAACCCTGAAGTCCCTGTCAACACCCTGCTGCTGTTGGCAGGGAGGCTGTGCAGCAAGCAACTGCCCAAAGGGATTGTCTCTTCACTTACACTCTTGGGCTCACTGCCAGCTCCTGTTTCCTCTAGCAGTATGTGGAGTGAGAGAAAGCATCCTCTCTCAGAGACTCAAGCATGTGAAAAGAAGATTTCACATGTGAAACTGAGACCTGGAAAACAATCACTTGGCTTCCTTCCCTTTAATTTATTTTCCGTATGATCGAGAAATTCACATATAGAATTTATTTTTAGATTACTAGTCATTTTATGTGCCTGGGATCCCATTATTAATAATAAGTTGAGATGGAAATGAATCTTGGGTGCTTTATCACATGATGTTTCATGTTCCCCTAATTACTTTTTTTTTTCAATAAATGCATAAAGCCTGTGGCAAAATTAGCTTAAGGTTAGAAGATTTGTGCTCCTGATCATGTTTCAGAACATTCTTCAAATAGAGTTCAAGGAAAAGCCCACTGAAGTCAATTTGAGACACAGACACTTCTACTGACATCTGCTAATATCTAATTAAGCCCCTGTTGCATGGTATTGAGCAAGTCTTTTATCATCACATTTAAGCAAACATAATCAGTACATACTTACCTGGAAAAGGAGTGTTCATGCTTTTTACAAGGCTTCAAACTTAAACATACAAATGAGATGCAAGAACCATCGTTTCCCACTTGCTACCTTTGCTACAATGTGAATTTCCTAGAAGGCAAGAAAGAACTTGCTGCCTTGCTCTAGTTCAAACCCTCAAAGGTGTTAGCTGTTAGCTGAAAACTATGTTAGTGAGGGTCCAATTTCCTTCTTGCAAATGGAATCAGCAATGTGCTGAAAAGTGCCCTCCTTTACCATGCAAATGACTGAGAGAGCGTATGTCTAGCAGGGCACTACAACACCAAATATTTGTTGGCTGATTTTTTTTTAAATCATCACAATAAAAAAACAGCTGACATAAAACTAAAAAAATAAATGATCAGCTCATTAATACTGAAACTAAGAATTCCTAAGCTAACTATGCATTACAACATGTGGCCTGGGACATTTACTGAGGATGTCAGCTCTGCCCCATCCAAGTGTGCTTTTGAGTTTGTTATCCTCAGAAATTACTTGACATGGGACAGTCTTGTATGAACATGTACCTTCCTTGCATTCTCCAAATAGCACCAAATAGAAGCAAACATAAAAGGACATGGAGACATGCAATTTCTGTAGCCATACCACTAATCCAAACTGCTATAAAGAGGATTAGCCTACATCCTGCCACAGAAATGCAACAACCTTCATTTTGCTTCAGCAGAACAATATTGCCTTCATATACATAGTAAACAGCAGAGAAACAGCAAGAGTGTAAATCTTTCATTTGTCACTGTCTCTCAGAACTATAATTGAATCTAAGCTCAACAGAGGAACCTGGTTTGCAGATAGCAGCAAAACTCCATCTAAGCCTGTGGCTTACACTGATTTAGGAGATCCATGGTTCTGTCCTAAAATTAGTAAAAGCAAAAGAAGGCAGTATTGCTACTGGACAAGCAGTTTCTGAAAAAAGCCAGACCCCAGTCTGCAAATATTTGCTGTTCTTCAATTTCAGAAGCACATTTCCTGCACTGAGGTCAGGGAAATACTGATTTGCTCAGTCACATTGGTGAGCAACTAGAGCAGTCACAGAGGAGAACAATTCTAAAGAATATTTTTATTAAATTTACTCTCACTTAAAAGGCAGAAAAATCTTTGGCAAAACTGAAAAGTCTGAGACTGCAACATCACTGGGTATGCTTATGAGATGATCATCAGGGAAATTTCACAATTCCTGGTCATGGGGTTCAATGGTCAAAAGCATCAAAGCAGTAAAAGGCCATAAACTTATCTTACAGAACTTGCTCAAAAGCTAGCAGAGTTAGCTGGTATACAACAGAGAGGATCCCTTGGGAACACTTTTAATGCCATTACTATGAAAATCTGTAAATATCCCCAAATTATATTATATATTCCTTGTAATTTCTTTCCTGAGTGATTCCTTTGGCCTTCCTTGACAGTTCCTGGCTTACACTTCTCCTTTGGAGAAGCTCATGGACTACAGGAGGAAAGCACACTTCATACACCACACCTCCAAATGCAAAGGAGCTTGGCTTTAGGAAGACTGTGGGCTGATTTGAACTCCTCGTTCACTATAGAAGGTATTATTCGGATTGCCACGGGGACAAGATTTTACCTCCTTGAAAATACAGCTCTAGAAATGCTATGAAAAATAGCCAGCCAAGAAGGAGGGGGCAGCCACGAAACAGAGAAAGCAGCATCTCCAGGGAATTTATTGAAATGTATTTATAGTTTTCCTTGCATGTATTAATACTGTTTGTGACTCAGGGCTTTTAATTCACCAGCAATCTCCCTCACATCGGACACCCTGCTGGTGGGCAGGGAGCGATAACGCTCAATGGCTTCCATTCAGATGTCCCAGAAGCGGCAGAAATTAAGTGAATTCCCACACGTCTGGTCCTGTGCCCCCATACGCCTGCTCCTGTGCCCCCTCGCACCTCGAAAGCAAGCGTGCCTCTGCTCCCTTGAAGGGCTGTTGCCAGACAAAGGCGCAGAGATTTCCCCGTCTCCTTGTCAGTCAGCCTCACGCACACGCACACATACAGCCCCCGGTGCCTCTCGGCCCTTTCACGTGAATAATTCAGTTTATTCCCTGATGCGACAATTGCAGAAACAGGAATCACGCTTCCCATACACTCCTTTCTTCTGCCCTTTCCCCTACAGCAGCTGCCCACCTAGCCAGATGATGCTGAGGTTGGGACCGATTGCTGCTCGGGGCTGCCTGTTTGAATCCCCCGAGCCGAGGGGGCTGCTGAGCACATTTGGAGTCCCGCAGCGGGAGCTGGCAGGAGCCCTGGCCCAACCGCGGACCACCACAGCCCCGTCCTCGGCCGCAGCCCTGCTCCCGGCACTCCTTCCCCAAGGCAAAGGCGGGCAGGGCCGGGCGGGCGGTGCTTGGCCGGGGCTGGGCTGGGAGGCAGGGCCAAGCATCATCTGGCCGAAGCCATTGTCTGCTGGCCCGCCACCAAAGCCTGGCCGGGGGGGTTTGTGGGGTGGTTCTCTTTTCTCCCTGCAGCCGGGTTGCAGGGACAGCAGCAATGGGATTTTCCTCTCCTTGCATCAGGGATGCAAAGGCAGCGGGGGAATGGGGACCGGGGTGTGGGGCGCACCAGAGGTAGCTGCCGGAGCTGAAGGGAAGCGGGTTTCGGCTTTCCCTTCTAAATGACGAATTTTGAGTAAGGTTATCAGCGAGATGATATTGCTCAACCAGGAGAGCGAGTCGCAGGGAGCTGGAGCACAACCACCGCACGGCTCCAGGCAAGCACAGCCTTCCGCCACTGCGGGAGGCGGCCTGCGGCTGCCCCTGCCCCTGCCCCGGCCCCTGCCTCCGCCCCGGCCCCCCTGCTTCCGTCCCGGTCTCGGCCCCGGACGCCCACCAAGGCCGGGGCGGGGGCCGGGGAGCGAGGGGCAGCGGCCACCCCCCCCACACCCTGGCCCTCCCTGGGGGTGATTCCCCGTCGGCCGGGGCAGGGACCGAGGAGACCGCGGCGATGCTCGGCTATAAGCCGAGCTGTAAGCTGTGGATGTGCGCCCGTGTGTGTGTGTGTAGCTTTGTGTGCGTGTACGCGTGTGCGCGGGGAAGAGGAGGGCTGGGCGCTGAAGGGAGGGGAAGGAAGCAAGGGGAAAAAAAGAAAAGAGAGAGAGAGAGAGAAAGGCGGAAAGCGGCAAAATGGGTAGCGGGTGACATCACCGTCATTTGCATAGGCGCGGGGATAAAACCGCCCCGCCAGCGAGCCCTCTTTATACTGGCGTGAGGATCGGCGGCAGCAGCGAGCGGCGGGCTGAGCATCACCGCGCGGCGACACCGGTGGGTCCCGCCGCACCCCCCCCAACCATCCCCCCTCCCCCGGGTACCTCAGCGCGGGCAGCGCAGGCTCCTGCCCGGCATCCCCGCCGCGGGGGGACTGCGGGCAGGGCAGGGCAGGGCAGGGAGCGGGGACTGTTGTCCGGGGGGTGAGAGGGAGGGGGGCCATTGTCCGCGTGGGGGTATTGTCTGAAGGCGCGCTGGGCGGTGGCATGCGAGGCGCAAGCCGGCTTTGCTGCCATCCTAGGGCTTTATTTTTTAATTATTTTTCCCTGAACGAGTTAAAAACGCGGTCAGCGCCGGGCGCGTCCCCTCTATTGTACTCCGAAGAGCGCAGATACTGAGAGCTGCTCCCGGCGGCGGCTGGCGGAGGGCTGCACCGCCTTGGATGCTGGATTAAACGGACACTTTTTAAAATTAGTATTACTTTTAAGTACGTCGGGGGTGAAGCGTTTTATTTTCGGCGTGCTTGAGCGTGCGGGTCCCGCGGGTCTCCGCGTTGGGTGCGGCGGGCGCGGCCCCGCAGGGGCGCCTTGGGGAGCGGGGAGCCCTCGCCGGGGGTAACGGGTTGTTCCCCTCCGTGCGCAGAGTCACCTGCCAACATGTCCGACAAACCAGACATGGCTGAGATCGAGAAATTTGACAAGTCCAAATTGAAGAAGACAGAGACGCAAGAGAAAAACCCGCTGCCTTCAAAAGAAAGTGAGTGCGGGCAGGCAGGGAGGGAGGCAGGGAGGGAGGGAGACGGGCAGGGAGGGATGGAGGGAGGAAGGCGGGAGGAGACAAAGAGGGGCGGCAGGCGGGGAGCCGGGGGTGCGGCGGGTGCGGGGTGGAGGGAGGATACACGGCTGTGTCTGTGCCAGACAGCGAAAACCTGAACCCACCGCCTAGCAGCGCTTAATTTACAATTATTTACATCCTGTTTCGATCTGTAGCTAAAAATATACCTATATTATAGCAATTTATAGCAATTGTCATGTGAATGCATTTGAGGTTCCCGATCTTCATTTTGTTTTCTCTCCTTTTCTGTTTTTTCCCCTTTTTAGCAATTGAACAGGAGAAGCAAGCGGGTGAATCGTAATGAAATCTGCCCTTCCAAATTATGCACTGTACATTCCACAAGCATTGCCTTCTTATTTTACTTCTTTTAGCTGTTTAACTTTGTAAGATGCAAAGAGGTTGGATAAAGTTTAAAATGACTGTACTGCCCCTTTCACATCAAAAGAATAGAGAGAACTACTGACACTGAATGAAGGCGCTGCCTTTCCCTCTGCCTGTCTGGCTTTGGTCCTGGTGGCATGAAAGAGCTTGCATGTTGATGAAAGAAGAACTTGGGTGGGACTACAGTAAACTAGAGTAACACACGAGTAAATGCAAAGCTGTACCAAGGTCCTGCGATCTGTAAAATGCAGTTAATCGAGTGCCATTTTTTTTTTTTGTTCAAATGATTTTAATTATTGGAATGCACAATTTTTTTAATATGCAAATAAAATGTTTTAAAACCTGGATGGTATTTATGTCCTCTCTTTGGAGAACTGTATCAATGGATATGAAGCATAAAAGCTGGTACTGAGACACGGGATACTATAAAACGTTTGGAGATGCTTCAAACCTCAGTCATCCTCTTTTTTTTTAATATTTTTGCTCACCAATAGAAAAATTTGTGTCTTTGAAGCTAGTTTTTAGACAGATTTCAGTAAAAAATTGCATATCTTATAATTTGTTACCATGTGAGTATATCACTTTAAATATTTCTTTAATGTAGAGATTGATAAAGGCAAAAAAAATACGGCTATGTTTATTGCTTTGCCCCACCCATAGCATAGCTCTTTTATTGAGAACCATTCTTTACTGCTGCAGAAATTCAGCCTCAGTTGTATAAAACCATAATTAGTTTGTTTAATAATTAAGGCTTGTTATTTTGATACATTATTTAAAGGACGATGTAACTTGAATTTTAAGTCTAAGGTTGAAAATAAGCTTTTTAGTTTCTTAAAGCTATTTTAGTGGGTGGTGTCCCATGCAAATAAAAAATAGTTTTTGCTACAATGTTAGTAATGTTTTAAACAACATTTTTAATCTTAACATTTACTTGATCCTAAGAACTAGTATCAATAAAAAGGTACAATTTTTTTAATAAT